TTATAGATAAGAAGTATGTTTAATCAACTTCAAATATTATTTCAAGTTAGTCAAGTATGCTCTTGATTGTGTTTTCGTAAGGAAATTATTTTAACAAATAAAAGAATTGATAGGTCAACCAACCACCCTCATATTTTCTTGGCCGAGTTGGCTCCTAAGCAGCCGAATAGACTATCTGAAGGTCACTCAACTCACTTTACATCTCTATGGGTGAAGAAGCAATGAGTGGCGGATATTTGGCACTAGAACCATAATGCTAATGGATTTTGATTCGATATTGAAATAATTAGTTTTATAATGCTAATTTATAAAAAAGAATTGATAGGTCAACCACCAGCCCTTGTATTTTCTTAGCCAAGTTGGTTCATAAGGAGTCGAATGGACTATCTAAAGATGACTCGACTCACTTTACATGTCTATGGGTAAAGTAGCAATGAGAGTAGCAGTTATTTGGCATTAAAATGCAAGATAATGCTAATGGATTTTTGCGTAATAATTAGTTTTATAATGCTAATTTATATATATATATTTTAAATGAAATTTAAGTTCGTCGTTAAATTTAACAAGAAGTTCTAGTCCTTGTGAGCAGAAACGTATTAGTTATGATAAGAATTTGGACGAATTCTATTGTCAAACTCAAATTCAATCTATGGATTACAGATCCACTCAATTATATGAAGAAATAATACAATTCAAGTCCCATGATAACATAGGAACCGGATCTTCCAAAAAATTTTCTTGTGAATATTTAAAATTGTGAATTTATTTTATTTTATTTTATTTTTTTATTGCTTTTCACATGGACGAATTGTGGCTTTAAAAGAAACTTAACATGGACGGGAAACCTTCATGTATGATCTCCATATGTGCACTATCATAGTATAACTTTAAATTATTGAAAATAATTTATTGCTTTTATTAATAATAATTTTTAATTGGATCGAACAAATAACTTTTTAAATTAAATTGATCAAAGTCATAATTGCATAAGAGAATATTAGGATTTAGGGATGTCAAAATTGGTAGGTTGACCGGGTCAAATAAGCCGAAGACACCTGTCCACTATGATAGACTAACTTGAGAATCGACCCAGATGGAAATAGGCATGTTTTGATCCAGATTTTTAACTGACTATATCGTCTTGGATCTTAGTTGCCGTCCATTTTGACACCACTAGAGAGCATAAATCGTAACAATATTAAAGAATTGGGCTTAATTGAGTTAAGCTACACAATATGAGCCCAACTTAAAATTACATGTTGAAGCCCAAGATGCTTATTGGTTCACTAATAGGATTTTAGTTAGATTTTCCCAATGAGAATTAAAGAAGTTAAATAGGGCAAAACATTCGCATTATTAATTGGAATATGAAGGCATACACAAGTAATCTTTAATAATACCTCGGAACAAAGTGCATGGTTTTCCTTTATTTTTAATATCAGTCAAGACTCAAGCCTCTTATTTTTATTTTTGATGACGGGGA